CCAAGTATAACAAATTGGATAGGTGAAGAAATTATTTATTTGCTGGTGAGGTTGTACAGTTAGTTGAGTGCTTTACTGTATTAGCAATTTCTTAGTTGGAATGATGTTATTTGTTAATTTCAGAAAACCATGGTTTTTCATTAGTTAATTTTATGAAAAGTTTTGTTTTTATTTTTGCCTTACAAGCCCCTTTTGCCCCCCGTCCCTACAGGGGTCAATATACTTTTTACCATAATGTTTATCTCCAAATTTTTAACTGTTAATGCTAAAACCAAGATTCTCTGAATATCAGTTTGCTTTACAGCAAACATTGCTAAAATGAGTGAATTTGTTAAACCAAGAAAGCAGATATAGTGATGGAAAGGAAGGACAGGAAGAGAAGTAGGTATAAATGTTATTTTAAAATATGTAAAATAGGGGAGCCTGGGTGGCTTAGTCGGTCAAGCGTCCGACTTCAGCTTGGGTCATGATCCCATGGTTCGTGGGTTCGAGCCCCACATCAGGCTCAGTGCTGACTGCCAGCTCAGAGCCTGGAGCCTGCTTCAGATTCTGTGTCTCCCTCTCCCTCTGACCCTCCCCTGCTCACGCTGTCTCTATCTCTCTCTCAAAAATAAATAAAACATTTTTTAAAAATATGTAAAATAACAATTACAGCCTTCTACACAATGATCTTAGTTCTATACAACAATCTTAATAGGGGCAGTCCTTTGTATGTTTTTGATATATGGCATCATTTCTCTTTTTCTTTCTTTTTTTTTTTAAACATTTATTTATTTTGAGAAAGAGCATGGGGGATGGGTATAGAGAGGGGGGCACAGAGGCTCCAAAGCATGCTCTGTGCTGACAGCAGAGACCCCGATGTGGGGCTTAAACCCACAAACTGAAATCATGACCTGAGCCAAAGTTGGATGCTCAACCTACTGAGCCACCCAGCTGCCCCATCTTTTTCTTTTCTTTTCTTTTTTATTAAGTTTATTTATTTATTTTGAAAGAGAGACAGAGAGAGCAAGCAGGGGCAGAGAGAGGGAGAGAGAGAATCCCAAGCAGGCTCCATGCTATCAGCGAAGAGCCCGATGTGGGACTTAATCCCATGAACCATGATATCATGACCTCACCTGAAACCAAGAGTCAAGACACTTAAATGACTGAGCCACCCAGGTGCCCGGAGGCATCATTTTTCATTAGACAAAGATGTACGTGTATGTTTTCAAACACAGGCAAATTCATCTTGATAAAACATTGAAACCATATTTTCAGCACCTTTGCCTGTGAGAACACGTCCTATTAACCTCTTAGCTGCTACCCAGAACATACCTTTGGTCCATCCCTCTGTTACCCATTTAAACATAGGTCCCTCCAGAGGAAGAAATGGGCCTGTGTTTAATCTTCCTCTGTAGCCAGATGTAGTGGATGCAGGTGAAAACTACTGCATTGGCTTTTATGCTAAATATTTGTCTTATTGTCCTGCGGTGTTTTCTCATTGTGCACAGCAGATCTGTCCTCTTTTAAAAAGTGATTGACGACAGTAAGGGAAACCACACTCTAGAGTGTGAGAGGAGAAAACCACATGGTTAGCTAGGTAAAATAAGTATCTGTTTCTCTAGCTTGTAACACAAACAAACAAACAAAAAACCCCACATATGTATTTAAAACTCTCATTTTACAGGCCACCATGTTTTCATAGGGAAGTATTTAAGTGGAGTGAAGGGAGAGGGCACTTCGGCGTCTCCTTCTATCAGAAGTGTCATACACCAGGCCCCCGTATATACAGATGTATCACCTCGACTCTCAAAGAGCTTGAGTTCTAGGGAGGAGAGAGGCAGACAATCAAAATTTAGGCAAATAAGGAGGATTTCAGAAACAAGAGTGTGATGGTTAGCAAAGACTTGAAGTCAGCATCTTTTTCTAATTTCCATTTTAAAAAGCTCTGGCTGCTACGTGAGAAGTGGTTGGAAAGGGGTTTGGACGAGGCTGGTGTCCGTGGAAATGGAGGGAAGTGGGGGCAGGCAGAGCGGGAACCTCTTGGTAACGGACGGGACGAGAGGGAGGATGGTGTGGCCGATGACAGCCAGACCGCCGACTTGAGCAGATGGGCGGAAGGGATGCTGTTCGTGAAGACAGAAAAGAATGGAGGAGGAACACTTCAAGGCCAGCCAGGGAATCAAGGATTCAGTTTTAGACATGGTGCGTTTGAAATGCCTGCAAAACAGCCAGGAGAAAGGAAAACCCTGAATGCATTTGCAAAATGAGTCCGGGAAAGAGGTCAGGGTGAGTTATAAGTGTGGAAGTTGCTGGCACCTGGGTGGTTTCTGAAGCCACAGGAGGGGATGAGATCACACCGGGCTGAAGGTAGAGCAAACGAGAAAAACCTTGGTCCAGGACTAGCTCTGAGATACCCCAGGCCTTTAAGGATCTCATAGAGGATGTGAAACTGACAAATGAGCCTGAGCAGGAGCTGCTAAAGGCAGTTCATTTGCAAGGGGGGAAAATCATATTTCACCATTACAGACCACACAGCCCTGGCCAGCAGCTCTCAGCCACAACCCCCGGTTGGCTCCGAAGAAGCCTTCACTAATGCTAGAAAGGAAATTCACCGTGTGCATGTCTGCCCTGCATGGGCAGGGGAAACGAGCTTCAGCCTCCCTTTAAAAGAGAACTGAGCTGGATATAATAGCCCAAAGAATAAAATGAAAGTAGGAAGTGGCTGCTGTGTTTCTAGAACAGGGCTTGCAATTCCTCTGGGGCAACTAGGAAAGCTTTCAGAACTCAGCTTTTCTGTCTTGCTTGGGACTTGGTTACCAGTAAATGAATGGGGAGCAGTCTTGCTCCGCTGCCATTGACCTTGCTTTTCACACTTTCTCTTATGGGAGGTTCAAGTGCTACATTACAGAGTTTTGCTCTTTATGTTTGACATCAAATGGCACATTTACATTTAATAAGCAGAGTAGCTTAAAAGAGGTGCAGACTTTCAAGTCCAGTCTTGGAGAAAGGGGCGTGGAGGATTTTCACTTCTCTCTGTCTGGGTCGGGTGATTGAGTGTATACAATGTCTCCATCAAATAGGTATTGCAGTAACTCCCAGACAGGTAGCCCGTGTCACATTCTAATAGATTAAACACAGGGTAACCTTTCTACTTTATATAAAATAAGTTTCTGAAATCCTGTTATTTCCTGTGGATCTGAAGTTTGGGGCCTTTCCTTTCCAATATAAATCAGGTTTATTTGTTGAAGGTCCATATCATAAATTCTATAATGGAAGATGGGCCATGGTCTTGATGTGGTAATATTAACTACGTGTGTGGCATTTATTTTGATACAAACTCTTTAGTGTAGATTAACTCATACACTCTTTTGCAAACCTTTAGGAATAGAACTGGACTTACTTGATGAGAATATAACAAAGCTTGGAAACCTTCACATACTGGCTGTTGCTCATGCTTTTTCACTTTCCTTTTCTTTCTCCAAATATATTTCACTTCTTCTTCCACAGTTTCAGATCATGTTTCAGACATTCAAATATCGACATTGGTGAGGGCACTGTTTCTCGTTCAGTGAAGGCATTCTTTGAGCACTTACAGCCCTGTATATTTCTAAATGACATTCTGATGATTGGGAACCACTTTGTGCCAGAATGTATCCCAGAGCTACATTAGTCCAAATGTCAAATCTAACATGGCAGTGCCACACTGAGAGAGACACTCTTCTTATACACTGTCCCAGCCTGGATTAGGGAGTGGCCGCCTTTTTACTTCCTGCCACTAGTTATCCAAATCAGAAATAATTGTATATCACTGATGCCCTGACTCATCCCTACATATCTGTATTTTTGGTCTTTTTATCTTTCATTAACACATCACTGCTTTAAAACACCCAGTCCTGGGCTTATACAATGGTATATAAGAGAGAGTAACTGCTCTTGGCTCTAAAGTGGGAATGGAAACCCTCCTCCTCTCCCAAAACTCCAGCTCTGAGGACCTAGAGGGAGAGGGAGAAAGCAGTTTGGTGGAGTAGCATGCATAGAGTGGGGGAATATTTAGGGGAAAGACTAAACTTGGTTTGGGGAGTAAATATGTACTGAGCATTTTCACTGGCTGGCTGTAAGCTGGGAGCACGATACAGTGTTTTGTGAATATTTAATATGCACGACTATTGTTATGTGTATCTTACACTCCTGTCAAATTCAGTTATGGGCATTTCAAAAGCAAACTATAAGCATCAGCTTTTTCAAAGTGTGTTATTCATGGAGCACATGTCATTGGCTCATAAAAGTATGGTCATTTCCTCATAATGTATAAAAGATGTATAAACGTTTAAAGGGAACAAATAATGGCCCTTCATCAGAAATAACGAGTGACAATAAGCCTTCCAAGGAATATTCTTCTCTAAGACTTAACTTCCAGCAGTTGAAATTCAGGGCCCTTAAGATGAGCACACTGGTAGGGGCGGGCCAGTGTCTCAGGAACTTTGACTTTTTTGCAGCTGAAGTTTAAAATGGGCCTCTCCTTTTGATTGGCTTCCATGAATTTGCTGCTTTACACAATGTGGTTTTGCTCTGTATCCTTCTTACACGTAAAGGGAGTTCTTTAAATTGTTCTTGGTGACTGGTGCCCAGAGGACAGTTGTGGGTTGATTTTATATTTGAGGGGGGGAGGTATTATAAAACTAAACTGGGGGGAAATTACGTAAAAAATGACTCCCTCGTGAGACATACCATTTTTATAAACAGAAAAAGTTGTCTTTGGGAAAGCTGTCCCCTTCAACTGCTAAACAAAGTAGTGACTATATAGCAGAAGGCATAAAACACTTGAGTTGTCAGAGACCTTAAAGATTATGCACAACAACCCGTTCATTTCATGAGGACCTAACACCCAGAAGTGTAGTCAAGTTTTTCCTTCTTTTCTGAACAGAAACAAATGTGAGCAGATGAGAGCCAACCCTATCGTGGGCACATGAGAAGGAAAATACTCCTTAATATCTGTGTTTTTCTTTGCTTCCTTTCAGTGGCCACAGATGTCTTCAATTCCAAAAACCTGGCCGTGCAGGCACAAAAGAAGATCTTGGGGAAAATGGTGTCCAAATCTATTGCCACCACCCTCATCGATGATACAAGCAGCGAGGTCCTGGATGAGCTGTACCGAGTGACCAAGGAGTACACCCAGAACAAGAAGGAGGCAGAAAAGATCATCAAGAACCTCATCAAAACAGTCATCAAGCTGGCCATTCTCTACAGGAACAACCAGTTTAACCAAGATGAGCTGGCGCTGATGGAAAAGTTTAAGAAGAAGGTTCACCAGCTGGCCATGACCGTGGTCAGCTTCCATCAGGTGGAGTACACCTTTGACCGGAACGTATTGTCCCGGCTGCTGAATGAATGCAGAGAGTTGCTTCACCAGATCATCCAGCGCCACCTCACTGCCAAGTCACACGGACGGGTTAATAACGTCTTCGACCATTTCTCAGATTGTGATTTTTTAGCTGCCTTATATAACCCCTTTGGAAATTTTAAGCCCCACTTACAAAAACTCTGTGATGGTGTCAACAAAATGCTGGATGAAGAGAACATTTGAGCATGTGAATGAAGACTGACTGCTCATGATTTATTTGAAAATGGAGCACTGCTGATGTATGAAGGAAGAAAAAATTTTTTTTAAGATTACACATGGTTCAGAAAGACTTTGGCCAATTCAATTGTTAGACGTTAATGGTAATGTCTTATGCAACTCGTTTTATTGGAAGAAAAGCATAGTGCCAAAAACCCTACTGGTTAACAGATCGTGGGAGAAGTGTATGTATGATGCAAATACAGAGTTATACCAAGAAAAACTATGTATGGCTCTGAGCCTCAAGGCATCTGTTTAGGGCAGTTGATAGTACATTGGATATTTCTAATGTGTACAGTTATGTATTTTGATTCACTATTATTCCTTACTTTGTGTATGTACCCCTGTTAAAAAGCTGAGGTCTTTCTCTCACTGTCATTGCTCCTTTTGAAACAATTTCACTTTCAAGTTTACCTTTTGTTAAATACTCTTGCGTTAAAGATTGTGCCACTGACATTTGAGAATTAAGTTTTCATTGAGAATTAAGACATAAAGGAATTAAGGCGGTCAGATTGGACTCAGAAAAATGGAAAAACTGCTTCTCTGAAATCAATATTGTAGGAACCAACTTTAGGTGACATCACGAATACCGTTTGCTGTATGAATACACTTCTGGAGTCGAGTCCTGGTTTTTAGTACCAACAGTCCTTCATCCAAAACGTGGTAATTCTTAAAGATGTGCTGGTAGCGTCTCTATTTTTAGTATCGATTTCAAATGTAAGAGACACAGAGGAGAATCTAGGTGGTTCTTATAGAAGTAAGTGGTATTAACACAGTTACAACAATCTTTATTTTAGAGAGGAGCCCATCAAAATAATGTAGGGGCATAGGGACCTACAAGGAAGAAACCATATTGCTGTAGAACACAAGAATGAAAATAAGAAATGAAAATAAACGCATTTCCATGTTTAATAAGGTTTGATACGTAAATAAAGAATGTCACTTTTTTATTTAACTGTAAGGTTTTTGCTATTTTGTTATATGCTATTTTGATGAGTAAACCAAAGAATCTGTGCATTCTAAGCAGTTTGTGTGTTGTTTGTATATAATTTTACATGTAGGCATCATCTTATTTTAACATTTTTTTTAAGTTTATTTATTTTTGAGAGAGAGACAGAGCTTGAGCAGGGGAGAGGCAGAGAGAGAGAAAGACAGGATCCGAAGCAGGCTCCAGGATGGGGCGCCTGGGTGGCTTAGTCGGTTAAGCGTCCGACTTTCGCTTAGGTCATGATCTCGCAGTTCGTGGGTTCGGTCCCCGCGACGGGCTCTGTGCTGACTGCCAGCTCAGAGCCTGGAGCCTGTTTCAGTCTGTGACTCCCTCTCTCTCTGACCCTCTCCTTTTCACGCTGTCTCTCTCTCTCTCCTAGAAGTGAATAAAACATTAAAAAAAAAGAAAAAAAAAAACGAAGCAGGCTCCAGGCTCTGAGCTGTCAGCACAGAGCCCAACCTGGGGCTTGAACCCATGAACTGTGATCATGATCAGAGCCGAAGCAGAGCACTTAACCGACTGAGCCACCCAGGCACCTTCTTATTTTATAAAAAAGAAACGGAAGCCCACTGGCCAACTATCAGGAAATAACAGACTTAACTACCAGCCCTAAATATTTGCATTGTCACTGTGTCTGTGATTGAGTGTATTCTTTTGCCTTGAATTTCCCTGCCTCCCAGAACAGTGACATTAACATAGTAATTCACTGGGAAAGGTCCCGCAACTTAAAACTCCAGAGGTTGAGATCTGTTTGAACCCACTTCAGCCTGAAGGAGGAGGTATGTTTCTCTGGGTTCCTCATGTGCTTGTCCCAGACCAGCAATGGAGGCTGTGTGTCTCTTTGTTTGATATTAAATCCTTGACACCAAGATTAGAACAGAAATGACTGTTCTCACATCACCGCACAGGTAGGTGATTCTGAGATATTATAACTATAGCGTAACGGCAGCAGAAATGACCCCCTTCGCTTCATAACCTGCTAAGTCACCTATAAGTTTAGTTCAGCAGCCTTCCATGGCCTTACTGACTTGAGCTTACTTCTGGCCTCTGCTTTCCTTACATGGCAAGGCTGGGAGTGCGGTCTTAAGGAGCTTCAGATCTGGTGCTTTCCTGTTCTCTCCCAGGTCTCCCTCAGCAGAGGCGTGCAAAATGGACGCCCTTGGCCGTTGGAGGGTGCTTCTTGCTCCTCCCTAGCTATGGAAAGGACCCACTAGAGAGAGGATAAAATAAGTTTAGATCCGTCTGGGCACATTTTGGATCATAGAGTTGTGCCTGCAGGTAAGCCATCAAATGTGCTTGAGGGAGGGAGCAAGCAACCCTCAAGCTCACACAGAAGGAAGGCAGTGAGGACTCCCCGGAAGGAGGGAGTCCTGTTAGCTGCCAATTCAGCAGCATGTTCAGGAGAGAACCCATCTCCTTATCAATCCTGTGCTGTAAGGATGCCTTAGGGATGAGCTACAAAGTCTTTTTTTTTTAGATTACAAAAAATTTTTTTAAGTTTATTTTGAGAGAGAGCGAGAGATGAGCAGGGGAGGGGCAGAGAGAGAAGGAGAGAAGGGGAGAGAATCTCAAGCAGGTTCCGCACCATCAGCACAGAGCCGGATGTGGGGCTCAAACTCATGAACCATGAGATCATGACCTGAGCCAAAACCAAGAGTCCGGCACTTAACTGACTGAGCCACCCAGGCGCCCTAACTGCAACATATTGATCTGCAAGTTCATTTCTGATGCAATCAGACTCCCCTGCGCATGAATTTAATTTTGCAGGGACGGTTGGGAAAGTTGGAGAGGATCCAAATGTGCTTAGGATAGGTAATTCTGAGCCAAGTTAATAGTCATTTGGGGGCCTTAACATTTTCAAAAGTTGAGTCTTTGACATTTTAGAAAATAAATCATGACTTGTGTTAGAAATTGATTTTTTAAAAGTTTGTGCTGATGGCTTTTCTGCAAATATTATGAGTTAATATAATACAGGTGAGTGATAATATTAGGTGCTAACAGGTGACACAGAGTGGTTATTAGGTTCCAGACACAAAGATGAGGAAAGTATGGCAAGAAAAATTAAGGAATTTGCCCAAGTTCACAAAGCCTATTAAGTGTCAAAACCAGGATATCCATAAAACCTATTTTTCTTTAAGTGTGGTATGGATAAAGACACTTCAGACAAGAATGGGCATGGTGCTTCTGAAGTGGTTTTTCACACAGTGGCATATGGGACGGTACTTATACAGGTCTGATCTATTCTCTTAAGATCTGAGTATGATTTCATACAGAGACATTGTATGAACTTTTCAACAGAGCTTCTCATTTGGGGACTTCTCGTGGCTCAAATTTCAGTCCCCTCCAGAACTTCAGTTCAAGGAGCTCACAACCAGCAATGACTAGGAACACTGATGGGTGGGGCACAGTGTGCCCCTCCGCTCAGGGAGTCTTTGCATGGATGAGAAGGGCCCTGTTACATGCCCACAGCCAAAACAGAAGCAACCCTCGCCATTGTGTTCCCCAGCAAAGGTATGGCTTTACTTGGAAACATTACCATTATTTTGCCAGGTTTAGATGCTGGAAATACCTGAATGAGTTAGTTTAAGAGATGTTTTACTGTTTATTATTTTTGAAAGAGAGCAACACAGCATGAGTGGGGAAGGGGCAGAGAGGCTCCAGACTCTGCGCTGTCAGCACAGAGCCTGATGGGGGACTCAAACTCACGAGCCATGAAATCATGATCTTAGCTGAAGTTGGACACTCAACCGACCAAGCCACCCAGGTGCCCCAGGATTTTTACTGAGAATTTTGATTTATCCTTGAGATCCATGATGAGACCCTGTAATTATAACTTAGCATACCAATCTTGACAGATACTAAATCAAAGATTAACATCTCTAACCATTTGATGAAATATCTGTAGTGAATATCTAAGTGCTATGTAATTGCTAGAAAATTAAAGTATCCTAATAGAATAAATTTAATTAGCATGTTAATAAGATTTATAATATTTTTTCAGTTTTTGTCAAGCTTGCCTTTCCGAACTTGCATTATCTAAACTAATTGAACTTTGTAGTGTTTGAAAAAAAATCACTGTTTTATTTGATATAATGCATTCCTGGGCATAAAGCTTCTATGTAATTTGTCAAACTCAAATCAGGTTTTAGAAGCCAGTGATGTTTATGAGAGATAAACTTTTACCCAAGCTCTGAAAGAATTGTCCTTATGATGATTCAGATAAAGTCTTGGTAAAAACCCCCTAATGAAAACACTGAGGTACTAACCAGAAATGAGTCAACTTTTTGTTTCCAAAATGAAACAACAGGAAAATCTTCAGGAGCTTATAATCACATCGCACTATCAGGGCAAGCTATTGAAAATCCATTATTGCTTTTACGGAGGTGTTCTCATGGTTACTTACATATGCCCAGAGCCAGAAAAACACTTTTATCTCAGGGAATTTCCCAAAATGGAAACATTTGTGCGTAACTAGCCAAAGATGTGTTTTTATGTCTGTCTAGCCAAATACGTGTTTTCCATCCAGCAATGAACATCAGCCCCATGTTCTAGGGGACAAGACACTCCAAAAACGTCCCGTCTGCTGAGCCCTGAAAAAGGATACAGACAAGTCAGCCAGCGTTCACAGTTAAGAGAAAAACATCTGTGCTTTGGAAAATGTTCTTCAGTACAGAGAATTGTGCTCTAAATCCACCAAATTTCAATGAGATCTTTGCAAGATAAGCCAGCTGATCTCTATGGCCCCCTCATCTTCCTTCATGGGTGGCTGAGGAAATTCTCTGCCCGCCTCACTAATAGATGCATAACCATTTCTGCCTCGTGGAGATAAAGTGCTGATCTGGTGCTTGGCGTTGGTTGGCTTGTTTTTAATTCCAGTATAGTTAACATACAGTATTATATTAGTTTCAGATGTACAATTTAGCGATGCAGCACTCTCACATACAATGCCCGAGGCTCATCGCGAGTGCCCTCCCTAATCCACATCTATCTCACCCTCTTCCCACTCACCTCCCCTCAGATAACCACTAGTTTGTTCTCTCTAGTTAAGAGTTTTTTTAGTATTTTTGTTCTTAGCACACGGAAAGAATATGTGATTTATTTTTAAAGTGTGTGTTTTGATTCACAGAACAACCTTAGACAATGTGCTTCTCTGTACTTCGGTTTTTTTCATTTAAAAGCTGATGGATTGAGACACCTGGGTGGCTCAGTCGGTTAAGTCTCTGACTTTGGCTCAGGTCATGACCTCACCATTCTTGGGTTCCCACATCAGGCTCTGCGCTGACGGTGTGGATCTCGCTTGGGATTCTCTCCCTCTCTCTGTCCCTCCCCCACTTGTACTTTCTCTCTTAAAATAAATAGACTTTAAAAAACTTAAAAAGTAAATAAAAGCTGATGGATGAATTAAGTCACTTAAACCTGCCTGATGTGAGGTATAAATATAAGGCACGAAAGTGAAAACTGCGAGTACACATACCTGGATTGTCACCATTATCTGGGATGATCAATGTTGTATGAGAGAGAAATCCAGGTTCCATTTTCCCACAAATGAGCCACCACTCAACCGACCCAAGTGACAGTTCAGCAGCTCTTACTGCTCTTTCCTAAGACCATGTATTATCCCAAAAGGATAAATACTTGCAAAGCAAGTCATTCATTTTTATAAGACATTTAATGTCCTGGAAGAGGACTTGCTGATAATTAAATTGTTGATATTATTGCTATTCCCTAATCATACAGACTTTGTGTTCTCATGACCAATGAGTCACATTTTTAACTTGCTGAAAACACTCGCTGAGCTTGCAGTGAAATCGATGAGTGGAAATATTCCACAGTATTTTCAAACACCATGCGTTGGGAGTTTGGCATCTCTTCCTCCCGGGAACTCACTGGTGGGTGGTCAGGTGGAACCCTGCGGTGACAGAGGGCATGTGCAGATAAAGCCAACGTGTCTTGCTCGTGTCTGCCAGTAACCTCTCTACCCTTATCTGAACTTCAAATAGGATCAGCTACCTCACATTCTCATTTTAAGAACAAA